TAAAATGAAGTGCTTCGGGGATTTATAATTTCCAGGACACGAAGTGAAACGAATGAGCGAGCGCTGCAGAGAAATGTATACTATTAATTCCATTTTTTAGGTTTTAGAATGGTTCAAGTGCGGCAAAATTTTAAACAGGCTTTTCAAATTCCCCCTGTTTCTTGAACAGGATGCGTGAACATCGGGTGTCCACATTGAATTAAAATGAAGCAGCTGCTACACTTTATGTCCTAAATACAAGATGTTGCAAGACAATTCGCAGACAGGTAACAATTTAATCAATCATGCTACTGACAATGCGTTCTGGAAACAGCTTTTGTTAGTACAGCCACTGTAAACATGGAGGTAGAAACAGATCACGCGTGCCCCGCCCTACCCACACTGAATCTCGACGTCTACACCAAATGGGAGACGCACACGCAAAAAGTCCAGGTGCCTTCCCCCTCTCTAATTTACACACTTCTTGACAAAACCCCCAAGGGTATCAAATGCTGCAGTACGAAGCAACATGACGTGCTATAGCGTTAGTTTAAGACTCACATACACACTAGAGTAGACTTGGGGTGCTTTTCAAAATACCAGTCGGTTTCCTATAAAACCTCCCAAAATTAATACAAGAACATGTATTTCAACATTGCAGACTGTCAGTCTCACGACTGGACAGCGTCAATTCGATTAATTCAGACAGTATGTACTTTCTGGTGAGACAGTAAACACTGGATTCGTGTTAGAGCGGGCAATTCGGAATGTGCGGTAAGCTGGGTTCTTTATGTTCGCTCACACGGGATGTTTTGGACGTAATGACATGGCTATCGTCACTTCCCCCCCACACTAGTTGACTATAATCATCTTCGTTAGAAGATATCATCAGGATATGTCGTAAACAGGTCACACGATGGACTTGCTCTGTGTGCTCCTTCCACCTACTCGTCCGTGGCTTGAATGCCACAATTTCATTTTCTGATTTCTTGCTAAACATGTTTAGTTTTGGAATGCCTTTGGTGGATTAAAATGTGGCAATGATGACAATGACTGATTTAAAGGATATTCACATCACTATGTTTAACACAAAAAATACAATACCAAGCAAACGGTAAGGAAAGAAACTTCTTCTTTCTCTCAATGTTGCTCTTAAGACAGATTTCCGTAGGGATCTTTTCTTCGGAGAAAACCAAGCGCTCTGAACAAGATATGTGTGCATTTCCGATACTCAGGTATTTACGACGTGTACCCCATGGGATACAAATCAGGAAATTAGAATTAAACTGCTTCAGATCGTTTGGACTGCAACCTGTAATAACGAGTACGAAACATGGCTGTAGGCATCTTCCATAAACGCGCGCGTAAAGACACCATCCGCATCCAGTTGAGTCTGATATGGTATTGAAAGCCATTATTACTGTGGTAACGTTAAACGACCATTAGATCTCCGACATCAAAGTGCACGGATGCCATAAGTTTAAGGCTGTGTACAAATCACTTGGCTACGACTACGGCTTCGCTGACTTGCACCAGCCCTCTAAACCAACAGCTTCCTACTTCTCATACATGCATGTGTGTTATACGGCCAACGCGCGACATGCGCTTACGACTCGTCTTTTCGAACGAGTCTAAAGCTATAGCCTAAGGCATTGCCAACAATGCATTGATGAAGACATAAAAGTTCCATTTGGATTCTTTTCTTTTTTCAAATAAGAGCACAGATTACACATGACTCTTAATGACGCATGTGAGTTCCCATTCGGCCGAAATTTCTCGTTTTCTGTCTGTTTGTGTAGTTTTTGTACACCTGATAAAAAACCCTCTTGGCAGTTCCCCTCACCATAATGTCCCCAGGTCGCACTTTGGTAAGCCTGATTTATAATCAACCCAAAGTATTTTTAGTATCCTCTTCAGCTCAACAGGGGGACGACTAATCAGAATGTAGTATGAGATAATGTGATTTCAATGAGACGCCGGTACGCATATTAGTAAATTAAGCTCACTATTGAGCGAAACGTCACCGATGACAACTAGGCGATAGTGCCTACAGAGGCTTCATTTCAATTGTATATGTTGTCATGCTATAAACAGAGATTCCAAAATTAGACTGTTACGAGATGTCCCAAATTTATTTGCTATTTTGGGTGACATTCATTTGCTAGTCTGATATTGACATGTTGCAAGCGAAGCTTCTAAATATTTAAAGCATAATGACTAAAAAACAGTTTCTCCTGTGGTCGAAAAACAAATACTTAAGGATATACACGTATGTATTCTGAACTAATATAATAATCAATCATTAAGAGGTTCGGTTATGACTGGATAGTATTCGATGTTATGGATGTGTTGAGTACAAATCAAATAAAGGCTGAGCGTAAATACAATTCTGAATTCTGACTCTCCGAACTTGCAATTCTTGATATTCTTGTTAAGGTGATGTGATGAAAATTTTTCATTCACAAAGTCAATACATCATTGGATTTCAACGAGAAAAAAATCATTACTGCAGCACATGCAAGCGACCAAGGCGACCAAGTAATTTGATGCTTATAATTCTGTATTTATACCAAACGGTTTTAATGAACTGTCCGTCAGAGATGACAAAACAAGAATCAAGTCCAATATGCCGAGGAAAATCAAATCTGTGCAACACCTCTGTATTTGTTGATCACATTACGATAAACTGTTGAAAGTGCAGTGAATTACTGTGCACCATCACTGCGCCAAAATGCTCGAGGGCCCACCACCCTTCTTAAAGACCGAGTCGACGATTGATTGAGGGGCTTACTCTAATTTCACGTGGCGGCTCTGGTGACGCTTTTTCCGGTCTAACCAAACCCATTTCCGGTCGTCCCAACTGGAGATTATTGCGTAATTCAACTATCCTCAGCCAACATGGGTCGCGACAATTTGAAACCAATCAAACAATTATCCCAAGACCTGAGGATCAGGGAGACTAGGAACCAAATACCACCGGAACAAATTGCACAACGAAGAAGGCTTCGATTGAAGTGTAAAGAGAGCGTCTTGTTAGTCAATCAGAGCAAAGATCACGAGTAAAGAAATCTCAGGACTACATTCCAGGTTCCTTACTTTCTAATGGAAGTCAATGTGAACACCGTTATAAATATCGACAACAAAACCAACAGAGAATTTGTAACCTGTTTCGGCCACGGTAAACCAAATGTACGTCATGAAACTGTCGGAAATGCTGGTTCTTGGTAAGAATTATATAGTGCAAAAACCTAAAACCCAAAGGAAAAATGAGTCTTATAGAGCACAGGTGATGGTTCTTTTTTCAAATATATTTACAGGATACTCTTAAAAGGAAAGGTAGCCAGACTAATTGATACGTGGAATAAATACCCAGTGTATTCCGACAGAAGCGTCAAAAACTAACCCGATCTTGCGGAACAAACTGACATCGGAATCTCTTCTTTTCGTTTAAGAACCGGGGAATAACAATTTGCAGATGATTTCCATTACATATACCTGCAACCTACCCGGATCGATACCCAACCCAGGGGCGTGTTTCTTGTGTACGACCCCTTAATTGAGTTAATGAAATAAGGACAACAAGGAGTCGCAGCGCTGTACCTCGGGCAGCTTATTGGCCCTGGGAAGAAGGTACTTCATTGGCTAGCCAGGTGTGACCTTTGGGAACCGGAACTGTGTGCAGATAGATCCATACTCCGTAAATCAATGGAAAATATAAGGACAATTAACGATGGATATAGAAAAAAAAGTAGGCCTGGTACACACATCAGGGTATGGGAAGTCTAGCGTTAAACAAGCTTGTTTGGTTTCAACTTTACGCGCTCAACACTGCATTGTCTGATGTCCTGCGTATGAGGTTTTCTCCAAACAAATTGTAAAGGACTTGAATCTGGATGATATTTGATTCGGATTTAGGAATGAGGTCAACCTCTCACATCATGGCCGGATTATGAGGTTCATTTTCAAACCTCCGTGTTATTTTCAGTTCAGACTATCCATTTCATGATAATAGCATTTCTGTTTCGAGTGACCAATGCAACTGCTGCCAGTCTCATTATTACTTAACTTTCGTTCGAACTCTTTTGTATCCCATCCGTGCAAAGAGAGTTGTTTCGTAAATTGAATTCTCTAAGGAACACAAGCAATCACAGAGAGGTAGTCTGCATGAGTGCATACCAGCTGCGACCTCATTCTCCTGTGCGTCACAAGGAATTACAGCTGAACGGGTAACTTAATTACACGGCCACAATTTTACTTACAGCAAAATAATGAACAGGAATATCACAATGGTACATGTACGTATTACAGAACAAATCTGTGTACTCAAAGCGAGTCACCCATACGCTTTAGCAAAAACAAGTGAACGCGACGTCAATAGAAGATCACAAAGGTTCAAGCCTTAGCGCACACTCCCTGGTGTAAAGAAATAAACAATAGCCATTCACACTGTTTTACAAGAAAAGACTTAAAAAGGACACTCGTGCCTGAGGATCCCTCCACATGCAATAACACCAAGTGACAAGATGACATTTATGGCACCCCAGGACCTCCTTCAGGAAATCAACAAACTTCACATCCACAGCAACATAATATAAATATTACATTTCAATGGCTTTGTGAAACGTTCGAGCTGGAAACTTTGATTGTTATGATCCCAGAAAACTCATAGACCTGAACGAGAGACAACTTATCTGTTGACGCGGCTTCAGGCTTTGTAAACTTTAGGTTAGGTTATTTCTTTACGCTATTTCCTCTTGTTTAGAGGCAAGTTTGACCCGCTAGGAGCCATCTTACTTTGTTCTCTCCGATGGGGAAATCTCCCATGCCCTGGTCTTCTTTCCATCGGATGAATAGTGCATTGCATGCAAACCGGTGAAATGTAATATTGCCCTTTGTTGGTCCAAGCTGTCAGCGTGAAGCGCCCTCTCTAGTTTGTGCATTACACTGAGAGATTTCTACTCATTGCAGAAGTGACACTCCACCGAAAGCCATCATCTGATTAGTTTGGAGTCATAACTTACCATCGTTAGGCATCGGGGATGGGACAGTGAAGTTCCTACAAATCTCCATTTCCTTTGAGGAAGGATCGAGTTGCTCTTCCTCATATTTTTTACCCATCTGGAAATAAAAGAAAAATAATTTTTCAAATCTTCGCATGACGTGTTACAACGACAGTGGATTTAGCATTCTAATGACGCAATTTTGTCTGAATTTAGTTTTGATTTCATTCATACCCTTAATTTTACCATCAAGACAGATTTGACATCCAAACTTAAGAAACTGTAACTATTAAGATATATGGTAATTCAAAAGGACATCATCCTGTTGCCTTCTTAGGAACAGTTCACAGCAGTCAGCTTATTTTGGAAGGAAACTCGTTACCAAATTTACTAACCGAAAGGAATAGCTGCAAACCTGCTTACAAACCGAAAGGAATAGCTGCAAAATAGACGCACTTGGAACTTTTTCTCTCATCGGGGAAAGAAATCAGATTTCAGAGGAAGTCGGTTACTAAAAGTCAGTGTATTATATTCCACCTCACAACGTCTTTCTCCTATCCTTCTTAAATACTTTCAACAAATTTTATCTTTAAAGATTTTGTCAACCCAGAACGAATAGAATACCCACAGGTCGATCAAAATTTGATCCTAGGGGAGGTCGTACTGATTGGAAATGGTATATCAATTGCCCAAGAGAACTGAATGCTGTTCCGATAACGCAGTTTTAAGCTATAGATTTCGAGCAAGGCTTGAGGACTGATGTCTTATTTATTTTGGAAATCTTTCGTCTTCAAGGGGTGTCGGAGGAGCCACAAGTGACGGCGAAGGGCATAGTTTAATATCACTCTCTAAACCAAAGTATTCTGCAATACCGTGAATTGCGCGCTTGAAGGGAAAACAAAAAATCAAAGAAGAGAAGCTTAAAATAAATTGAAGAAAGGATGTAGTCAGCAGGCCCATGTAATGCAACAGATTAATAAAAGACATGAAGTAAAAAGGACTGGTTATCGACTCGACTTAATTTTATCAACTCGACAAATGATGTCTACTCAGGAAGTTCGTTTATCCGCCAGCTGATGTCATCTGCTGGTGTTCAGGCAAAATCAGACAGCGTTTTAAGATGAGGTAAATGTTTGGGCCTTAAGGATGTTTTCATCGACTCGTCAAGATTGCAAGTTAATTGTTAAACTTGGGAACTGGAAGGCTTGTTTATTAATTGCTTGCTGGTGGCAAATCAAGTGTTCCTTTCTTTTATGTTCAGCGATTCTCATTCCGAGCAGATCAATTGGAAATATGGGAACACTCGTCGTCTAGATTCTGCCTTCCGTTTTTACGAGTCTCGTTTCTATCCTTAATTAATGACGGCACAGACATCATTACTCGCCAGCAACTCTTCCCTAAAGAGGGGAGTCGATTCCGTCTATCAATACATGTACTCATTAAAATTACCGCAGGGGAAGTGACACGAGTTGAAGAGTGGATGTGTCTTTCCGTCAGGATAATGAACTTACAAAATAACATTCGAAATATTTTCAAGCTAATAACATGACATGAGCAAAGAATTTACACCATCAAGTAAATTCAAATGCAATGTTAAGCAGCTTATCTAAGCTAGTACATGTTATTCTGCTTTAGAGTGCCACGGTAGGAGTGCTTAGAACAGCCAATTATTATTAATTCCTCTCTGAAAACACCTCGGACACATATTAAGAGTTGTATATATAAGTATGCCAGGATTTCTTTACAAATATCTGTTCTGTCGCTGTCCCCCTTTGCTTACGTTGGCAACAAAGTTTCCCAACCAAAGTAAATATGTTCTAATATCCATTTCAAGTTTGACAAGACCCTTCAAAATAATTAACATTTACCCATTGTAAATATCATATATATACCACGCTAATTAAAAAATGTGTTCCATTGCCCTAACTACCCATGTATCTAAGACACCAACCCTAGCTTTTCTACTAAACATGATATGCGTACCATGGCAGCCATTTCAGTCAAACAGACAACGAACACATTTGGGAAAATAGAGCGCTTTAACTTGTTAACCTCGAAACACGGACTTTGAATATCTTTTGTAAGTCAGTAAACAAGTACACACTTACAAATGACCTACTTATACATGGAGAGTTTTAAGTAAACCAATAAAATGAGAAGTTCAAAACAGGGACTCATGAGGTTCGGTTTAAAACACTAATTCGTACGAACGACATTCTGCAGATCTCCTTCGTTTACTAACTGAAAAAAAAACCTTCAAAAACGCAGAAGAATGATAATCCTTGTGCAACGCCTGACCCTCTGTCTCAGTTCACTGTAAAGGTGTGCCTGCCAAAAACGGTACACTCTAGCCCATTGTATATGGAACATGGTCGC